GCTCAGTTCAGCTCAGTTTGTTCTCAGCGTCCTTCAATTTCATATTTTGATTGATCATTGACATTTACAACATATTTGTTGTGCGTGTTTATTTGTTGTTGTTATTGTTGTTGATTCCCATTCATTTATATTACACTTCTGTAAACACACACACACACACACATAATACACACAAATCTCTCATTCCCATTTCAATTGCGCTTGACAAATTGCTTTTGTATTCCCCAACTCTCTCACCCTCTCTCTCTCTCTCTCTCTCTCTGTTTCACTCTGTCTTGTTGCCCGCAGTTTACATGCTATGTTCATTGACACCCGCCCACTGTGGCTCCTACTTAATTTGTCTCTCTCACTCTCTGAGTGTGTGTGTATGTGGGTTCTGTTCGTGTGTGGGCTGCGCTTTTAGTGGCTCGCATTTCATTTATGTAATTCACGCAATAAAATAATCTCTGTGTGTGGATTTTTGTGAATTACACGCAGACATCCATCCGTTCTCCCTCACCCTGTCTCTCACTCTCTAACTGCTATTCTCTCTGCTTTCCGCTCTACTCCTCCCTTTGAGCTCATCCATCAAGTGGTGCTTTATAATTGAAAACGAACTCAAGTCTATGACTTGCTAATTGAATCAGCTGCAAGACGCAAACGACTCAACAACGCTTTGAGCAGTTGCTATTTTTTATATTTCTTTGAATTGCAAAATGAGTTCATTAATTTTCAATTAAAATCTTAGCTTATTATGCCCATTGGAAATTAGTTGAAGAAGAGGGCGGTGTGTGTATAACAAACAAGGAAAAATAATTGTGTTACATTGGGACATATTATGCTATTATTTTTAATTTTCGTTAATAATTATTACCACTGAATATGCGCAAATAGAGTATGCTCGATTTGGCGGTATTTAATTTACACAACTAGAATATATGTATGTATACTTCTAGCAAGCAGCGAAAGCGGACACACTGTCACGCTCTCTCTGTGTGTTAAAAATTCATCTCTTTACTTCAAAAAGCTACTTACTCCCTCTCTCACTCTCATTACGTAGTGAGCGCAAAAGTGTATAGCAGCAGTTCAGAATACACAAATAACGAAATGTCGATTCTTACTCTCACTGCTCTCTGCTCAAGAAAGCCAAAAATAACTCAATGCATTGCAGAAGCTCAGCTTAAAGCAAAATGGAATACAGCAACAAAAATAACACATGCTCATATACATATACATGCATACGCACATATACAGCTATTTTTGTTCGTTTGCCTGTGCGCGTTGAGAGTCAGCGCCATATTTTTAACACTCAATGCAAATAGTCAAATTATTCATTCTACCTGCTGAGTGCGCGCCAAAGAGCTAAAGTGCTTTGCTCTAATTTTGAGTGACATTTTGTCAGCTATAAAACTCGATGCAGCTGCCGGCTCTGATCAGTCAAGTGCCTAACCTGGGCTGAGTCAATCGAAGAGCTGTGTGTGGTGCAGTGTCTAATTGTTAATATATGTATGTGTATATGTATATTTTAGCTTTTGTTTTTGTTGTGAACTCATATATATGTATATTATTGAGCTTCTGCTATAAAAATGTTTAATATTTTATATGTTTATTTATTATTTATATGCTTTATTGTTAATAATATATAGTTATGAATTTGTTTTATATTTTGTATTTATTTAATAAATATTTTGTTAATAATTAATGAATAGTAGACAGAGCTGGCAATATCCATTATGTGATCCATTACTAGGCACGATTCAAGTAAACCCCTTATGCTCATGTCAGCTGAAGCTCAATTTTAATGTCTCAGTTCATGGAGCATGAATAAATTTGTTGCAGTTGTTGTTGTTGTTGTTTCTGTTGCCATTTGTTGCTAGTTAATATCTTAATAAAGCCATTTCGGGAGCCTTTCTAATGCGTCGACCTGACTGTCTGTCTAGTTGGCTCACATGATTGATTTACCAACTAAGAAATAACCTCTTCAAAATATATATATATATATATATATATATATCTCTTCTGTTTCTTTATTTTTTTCCTTTTCTTATTGGAGCAGCGACGTCGTCGACTGCCAACGCAGCCAACGCTCAAGTGCAGTAGCAAAAATGTTAACAATTTTTTCAGCACTCGATGCTTGAAAAGTCAGCGCCTGTTATTTAAGATCTGACCCGCTACCTCTCTCTCTACCTCTCTTGTGTGTACCCCTCTGCCCCTCTGTCTGTCTCTGTCTCTGGTTAGAATGTCTGCTCATCATTTTTGCCGGCGCTGTCGATGCTGAATGACTCGTCTGACTGTTTCTCGCATATGAACGTCTTTTAATTTCATATTTTGTTGTTTTTTATTTTTTATTTTATTTTTATTTTTTAGCTGAGCGGCTTGGCTTTCTTGTCTGTCAAAAAAAAAAAAAACAAACTTGAAATCCAGCTCGAGCTGCAACTAGAACGCAGCTTGCAGATGGAGTTGTAATGCGCGCTGCTGCTCCTGCTCCTGCTCCAGCTCCTCCTGCTGCTGCTGCTGCTGCTCACTTTACAAGTCGAAATAATCGCCATCATTTTAACTAATGACCCGTTCCAAAAAGGCGCTCCAGCAGCCGCCGTAGCCGCCGCAGCTTTTGGCGCTTTGTGCAGATTCATTCAGTTCCTAACTTAATAAACACGGCGTCGGCTTCAACCTGCAACGCTTGCCTCTTCCTCGCTTCAAAAGAATGCCAAAATGTGAGACCGAGAGGGAGGCAGAGAGTGACAGAGACAGTGGGAGAGAGAGCTGAGGAGGGGCTGCTGCTCTTAGGGGGTGCTCACTGTACAGCAGGTAGAAGCAACTTGAAATATTTGCGCATCTGCAGGAGCAGCGCACTTGAGCTACGTTTTGTGCCATGTCATTCCACTTAACTTGCCATCTTTCACTTGGCCGTGGACGATGATGCCAAAGCGCGCATCTTCTTCATTTCAACTTCGCGCGAATTGGTCGAGTTTTTTTTTCGCTCTCTCTCTCTCTTTCCCTCTCTTTCTCTTCATATATAAATAAATATATAGAAATATAAAGCCTCGATTCAATGCAGTGTCTTTCCGTCGAAGCTTGAGCTGCGCTTACAATATTGTCGTAAGTCTCTACAGCTGTTGCTGTTGCTGTTGCGGCTGCAAGTGATGTTGCTGCTGCTCAAGTTGCTGGTGTTGCTGTTGTCGATGATGTTACTCCTGCTGCTGCTGTTGTTGTGCCTCTTATTGTTGTTGTTGTAGTTGCTGCTGTTGATGTTGTTCTTGTAGTTGTTGCTGCTATAGTAGTTGCTGTTGTTGTCGCTGCTGCTGCTGCTATTATAGTTGCTGCTGCTGCTGTAGATGCTGTTGTTGTTGCTGTTCAAGTTGCTTTTGTTGTTGCTGTTTCTGCTGATGTAGTTGTTGCTGCTGTTGTTGCTCTTTTTGTTGCTGTTGCTGCTCCTGCTGCTATTATAGTTGCTGTTGCTGCTGAAGATGCTGTTGTTGCTGCTATTTAAGTTGATGTTGTTGCTGCTTTCAAACAATGCATGATCGATTGCCAACTGTTGATCCTAGTTGCTGTTGCAGTTGCTGGTTGATATTGATATTGCTGCCGTTGTGGCTATTGCTATTGCTGCTGCTCCTACTGTTAGATGCTACTATTGCTATTGCTGCTGTTAGTGTTGCTGTTGCTTCAAAGCGGATCATTTGCTGTTGCTGGTTTTTGATCCTATTTACTGTCGTTGCAGATGGAAATGAATGTTGCTGTTGCTGTTACTGTTGTGGGTGTTGCTGTTACGATTATATTTGATGTTGCTGTGTTGCTACTGCTATTGCTGTTGTAGCTGCTGATTGGAATTGCTGTTGCTGTCATTGTTGTTATCATTATCATTATCATGTTGCTGCTGTTGTTGATATTACTGCTGTTGCTGCTGCTTCTGTTGCCTTGTTCTTGCTGTTACTGTTACTGTTACTGTTGCTGTTGGTGTTTTGGGAACCTATTGTTGCTGTCGACTGCTGTTGCTATCGTTCCTATTAAGATTGTCGCTGCTTCTGTTGCTATTATTGCTGTTGTTGCTTCTGTTGCTGCTGTTGCAGTTGCCCTACTACGATTACTGTGGCTCTTTCTTCAAGCAGAATTATGTGAATTTGCTGCTGTTGCTGGTTCGTATTGCTGTTGCTATTGCTAATCATGTTGTTGCATTTGCTATTGCTGTTGCTATTCTTATTGTTGCTGCAAATATTGTACAACTGTTGCTGTTGCTGTTGCTTTATTGTTGATAATTGACCACATTATTGTTGTTGTTGCCTTTTTTGTCCTAGTTGCTGCTGTTGCTGTTATTAGTGTTATGTTGCTGTTGCTGTTTTGCTGTTGCTCTTCGTGCTGTTGCACTTGTTGCTGCTGCTACTGTTGCTGCTGTTGCTATTGCTCTTGTTATTTTTCTAGCTAATGCTAAATTAGTTAATATTGCTGTTAACCTAGTTGCTGCTGTTGTTGTTGCTGTTGCTATCACAGCCTTTTAAGTTGCTATTGCTCTGTCACTTATTAATATTATTGCTCTCATAGTTGTTGTTGTTTCAGCTTGCAGTCAAGCATCATCTGCTGCTGTTGTTGTTGATGCTGCTGCTGCCTCGCCGCTTTAGCCGTCTTGTTGCTGTTTGTCAGCGTTGTCGGCGGTCATTTTAATGTGGCCAAAAGCAGCGACCGCAACAAACGATTCAGAAATTGAGAACGCTTCGCTGGATGCCGCCGCCGTCGTCGTTATCGACATCGGCACGGATCAATGAAATGGAAATGGCACACACTACACACACACACACGCACACCCGCTGCTGTTGCTGTTGCTCCTGTATCTGAGATATTCTTGCAGCCACTTCCACTTGGCTGCAGCTCGATATCAGTTTACGCAGCAGCAACAGCAGCAGCAGCTCGTATTACACTAGAAATTATTGGCACATGCAACGTGCCCCATGTCGCATGCTCTTCCCCCACTAACCCCCCCTGGCTTAATGGCCCCCTTCTTTTTATAAAGATGCGATAGAACTTACCGATTCTTGGCCGCAGCGGCACGATCGCGTTGCCTGCGATTCTTAAACCAATTGCCAACCTGCGTGGGATTGAGGCCCGTCGCCTTGGCCAGTTCGCGTTTCTTCGTAGGATTCGGATAGGGATCCTGTAGGTACCATTCACGCAGCAAACTGCGCGTTCGCTCCTTGAAACAGTGCGTCTTCTGCTCGCCATCCCAAATGGTGGGCGGCAATGGAAACTTTTTGCGTACGCGATATTTGTCCACGGGTCCTGTAAGAGGGATGATATATACATAGATGGGTTATCTATAGTTTACATATCTAGTATGCAGTTGAGTAGACCTACCTAGCGACCGTCCTCGCAGCTTCTCCGCCTCAATGTAGTGCGCCTCCAGCCACATCGCTTGCAGTTTGCCATAGGAGGCTTTAGTAAATTTATGATTCTCTATTATTGCATATAGTTCCCTGTTGAGCAGAAGTATATAGTATATATGTATATAATGTATATACAATGTATATTTAATGTATATATAGCAACAGTCGAATCAAGTGCTCTGCCAACCCTTAGTGGATTCAACCCCCTGTATGTCAAATATCCTGCTGCGCTACTTCGCGCCAAACTTCTCTCTGTTTCGCTTCTAATTTCAGAATTATTTGCGGGAATTGTTGCTGTGATTTGTCTCTGGCGTTGACAGCCAGTTAAATTTAACAAATTGTTTTAATTGGATGTCATTTATTTATGCAGCTCAAAGCAATCAAATCACTTGCCATAACAGACGATTGCCATGGATTTTAGATAGTATATATCAAAGTCATATATGTAAATTGATAAATGTAAATCACTCAAAGCTCTTTATGGATTATACGTCAGCAATACATATAAATTAAATAGATAAATTCATCGAGTCAATAGCAATAACAGAGGGTTCAATGGATTATCTGTATAATTTATATAACATATGTGATTTAATGTGGATGATTAAAATAAACTTGCTCTAGCAAAGTCGTACTATATGGATATATATGTTAAGCTTATTTCAGTTTATTATGTATACATATTTGTATATATTTTTAGCAATATTAATTGATTTATATAAATATATCTAATTGCTTCTTTTAAGAGGGAATTTTCAAAAGAATTTTATATACATGATATACATAGTTGAGAATGATTCCACATGCATGGGGCTAGATTTCTAGTATGTATATATAGATCTATACATATGTGTATATAGATTTATACATATCTGGGCAAAAAGTTTGCCTAATAAAAGTCCATATATTTTTGTATTATATATTTTCAATACAATCATATCACTTTATAAGATCTAAATCTACACTTTAAACGCCTTCAAGAATGTTTTTCACCTTTAAAGGATATTCAGTATATATATAAATAAATAGGGAAATATAAATATTAATCTAAATAAAGATAAATATTTTCTGATATTTATAAAAATATGAATTCCCAATATCTAAAATATATTTCCTATATTTAACATGATTCACATGATTATATTAGTATTTAAACTTGAGTAAAAATAAATGGTAATAAAAAATGATGGAGCGATGGTTTAAATTTAAGCTGATTGGCAATAGGTCTATAGATAATTCCAGCTGAAGTCTTTGAAATTATTTAGTAGTTCAACTACTGAATCAGTTGAATCAATAACTAGATTAGATTCACTCAATTATTTCTATTATTTGTAATCATTGCAAAAAGAAAATGTTGGATGTATGTCCCAGATGACTTTACTTGCATATGAATAACTAACTATGGAAGCAGAACTCGGCGAAAAGTATTGCATGGATCAATTTAGTGATATGTGTTATATATGTATATGTTAAAAACTTAGGGTTATGTTAAAGATTATATGAGTTTTCAATTACTAACTCCTTTTGTTCAATATTTGAGAAATTAACATTTTGATGTTTTAACTGAGAAATTTGATTAGTATAGAGCCTAAGATTAATACAAAAATTTCATGACAATAGAAAAAAAAAAAATCATTGACATAAATATTCCTATATGTCATATATATATAACTGAAAAGCTGACATGGAAATTGAGCTAGAAATGGATAATCATGGAATCCTGTATAATATAATAACTTAACAATTTTAAGACTGTTAAACAATTAAGATATCTCTATAAATTAAATCAGCTTTAAGCTCAACTATTGAGCTTTAAGCACAGCTCACTAAACTCGAAGCAGTTGAAAACTTGTTTTAGGCATTTTAACTGCCAGCTAAAAATGTTGACAGAATGTTTAATTTGATGTTATGATTCTGCGCCAAGTTTAGACAAATTAAATTTAATTGAAGTGCAGCTTTAAAAAAGTTTTTTTTTTCAGTTTTTTCTTTTTGCTTCATTAAGAAGAAGAAGCGAAGCACTTAGCATATATTTCACAATTTTGATTTTGTTGTAATTTTTTGCATATGCTTGCAGTTAAGTTTGAGTTTAGACATGCATGTTAAAGGCTTGAAGTAAATTACTCAACTCGTTTCTCAATCAGTTTGTCACTTTGTCAGTTTGTCAGGTCTCTGTCATAAGCAATATATCAAACCTGGGCACTAATAGCAAAGCGTTTATTTGTTGTTTAATGATATCTTAAAAAGATGTTGAGTTGGGGCTGCGAGCTGAAGCTGAAGTAGGAGCTGAAGTAGGAGCTGGAGTGCAGACATGTTTGTCCACTCGTCTAATAACCAGATCTCGCGTATCTATGACTAGTTAAAGCAAGTTGTCAATCAAAGCAGTTAATTGCCGATAGATAGATGCATATGTATTATTTATTTATATATATTGCATTATATTTATATTTATTTGTTAATTTGCATAGATTGAGAAGCTTTCCAGCTAATCGTTCGGACTGCTAGCTGGGCTCTCAATCAACTGTTTCCGGCTGAATGAAATTTGAGAATATCTTTGGTAGAGAGGAAGCCCCCGAGTGCTATAGGCAGATCAGAAGCTTTGGCTCTATTGTTCGCTCGGTGTTTTATTAATCAAAATCTGCTCTGTTGTTGTTGAGTTCTTTAATTAGTAAATTAATGCTCATTGTTTATTAATTTAGCGAACGCATCATTGTGCGACTGACAAAAGCAAAAACTATCAAATAACTCGACCCTTGTCCCTCCTTGAGTGGAGTGGCTGCCCGACCCTACCGCTACCTCACCCGATCTACCGATCTCGTCCGCTCTCTCCCAGCCAAGTCGAGGTTAATCAGAGCTGTGTTATTTGAGCCGTAAGCTTTTGTTATGGGGGTCAACTCGAATATATTTTTCAGTTTTTTTGGGCTGTGCATTATTTGCCTACCTGAAGTTGCCAACGTGATAGGCGACAACGGCTCGAGCACGGAGCACCGCCTCACAGTTGAGTATCTCGTGCATGTTGGGCAATGCCACGGGCAGACTCCATAGGAAACGTGCCAGCCGCTCAATATCGCCGGAATCCTCCAGAGTTTTGCAGACGATCTCCACTTGGGCCGCGGAGAAGGCGAGCGTCGGCACCGCCAATATCGGACTGGGTGCTATAATCTGATGGTGTGTGGGCGAGAATGTCTCTGTGGGCGGCTGTTTGCCCTCCGTCGGTCCAACGGCCATTTTATGCGTTGAATCCACTGTGAACTAATTCGCATACTATTCTGAACCAAAACGAATGAATTTTGCAGCGAGTATCAATTGAAACAAACACACACACAATATAAGATTCTTATAATCTATATCTATATCTATATATATATTAATTTATTAATTTCTATTGATTTCTGGGAACGATCACAGTCACTCTCGATCGATTCTCTATATATATCTTCACGTTTGGCTGTTTAGTTGCTCATATTAACGAACGCGACGGATTTGGTTTTTTTTTTTTTTTTTTTTTTTTTTTCTTGTTTTTGTTAGTTTTGATATCAAAAATCCTTGAACCGGGTAGCTAATGATTAACCGATACTACTCGACCGAACTGCGGCTGATCCAAATCCGGATTGCGTTCGAGCACTGAGCGCTAGCTGAGGGCGTGCTATGGATATAACCAGGCGGCGAGCGAGCGTACAACCGAGCGCACAAAAAATACGTCAAATAATGGTCTTGTAACTGAGCTGCCTACTATGCGATGGACGACGACGATGACGACGTACGGTGGCGACGGCGACGGTGACGACGACGGTGGCGACGGCGTTGGTTACGATGGCAACGGCAACGCACAACAATGACGCGCCACAGATACAGATACTCTGGCAGCAACAGAGCCAGCAGCAGCTACCAGCTACTGCTGCCAGCTGCCAGATACAGATACAGCCACAGATACAGCTACAGATACAGCTACAGCTACACATACAGCAACAGAAACGAGTTGCTACACACACACACACACACACACACACACACGCGCACACAGTTTGAGTAACAGATACGGATACTGAAACACCACCATACCAGGGCAGAGGCCGTTGGGTAGGCGTTCCTGGGGCTCGTCCGTCACTCGCTACGCGCTGAGTGGCCTGCACTTTGTCACACTAGCCGTCTCGCTTGCACCCAGCCAGGCTGTTCAAGCACGAGCAGACATACCAGCTGCAGCTGCTCGTCTCGCTCGCACGGCGGCATTGCGGCTGCGGTGGTAGTCAGCCCCGGATGCGTTTAAATGATATGTATATAAGCCCTACTACACACACACACACACACACACACACGCAGTCAGAGAGAAACAAATACATACACATACAGTTGCAATTGCAAGGGAGCGTGGCCATGTAAGAGTGAGAGAGAGAGAGGCAGCGAGACAGAGCGGGGGCTAGGCGCATTGGTGATGAGTGAGAGGCAGCAGTTCGTTGATATTTTGATAAAGAAATCAAATAAAGCGGCAGAGGCAACAGCAGCACTGCTCTACGCACAGTGGTTCGAACTTGCTAATAAAATTGGTTTGCCTATTGAGAGTGTAACGCATATATTTACATAAGCGCATCAAAACTATTTGCTTAGGCGATAAGCTGCCCAATGGAATTGTGAAAGATAAATAAATATGGCTATAAATATGATGAAGGGGATGCGGATATGGAGCGGATATAAGAATTAATCAAGCTATTAAAGATTAAAGCTGATATGTGTTTTTATTTTGATTTAGTTTTTAGTTATGCTATGTGTATGAAATTATTTATTATTAATAAGTATTTTAGGATTACATTTTAATAATCATATTATGTATTCTATTTTATATATTTATTTAAATATTACAAAATTGCTAAGGGAAACTTTACTTTATTACTTTATGCTTTAAGCTCAGTTTTGCTAAAGGTTCAATCTTTAATCAAACTTTTTAAAGCTCATTACACTTTAAGCTCACTATCCTTTATATTTTCAGCTTTAAGCATTATACTTTTGTTTGCCTTATCAAGCTCAATTTTGCTTAACATTTCAAGCTTAAGGCCAGCTTCTCTGCATTTGTTGCCTTGAGCAAAAAGTTTCTTAACATTTCAGGTTTTCTGCTCAGTCTTTCTTAGTATTTCCCTCGCTGGACATTACTCTATTAAAACTTTGTCCTAACACTCTAAGCTTTTGGCAATTTTTTCGCCAACTCTCGCCCCACTGTAGCTGCAACATATTGTAGAAGTGTAGCGAAAATGTTTGATACAGTGTGGCTCTGCCTGTGCCCAACCCGAATCTAACCCAGCTAACCCCTAAGCTCGGGCAGAATACGAAATTCGGGTTTCATTTTAGCAATAACAAAAAGAAAACGCAAAGTAGAATGAAAAAGTGAAGAAAAACTTTTGATTATGCCGTCAAATAAGGGAAATATTTGCCAGCGCGGTTTTTGCCAGCAAGAGAGAGAGGGAGAGAGAGAGATAGAGAGTCATATACAGTGACAGAGAGCGAGCTAGTAGGCATTAGGGGTACTCAGTATACCCACTATACCCACTGCTGTGCTTTGTCAGAGTGTTAACAGATTAGTTGTTTACATGCCACAAGTAAATGAGTTTTCAAATTGACGCCCGTTGCAGAGGCGTGCCTCTAACTCACCCACCGCTCCCCTCGCGCCGCAACCCCCCCAGCCCACAGCTGGCTGTACATATGTATTCGCCATTGAGACGACGCCATAGCCATAGCCATATAGAAGCATGTAACCATATTGCTAGAGGTAGAGCGATTGCCATTGCCGTCTATCCGTGTATCCGTGTATCCGTATCTCACTCTCTTGTTCGGGCCGAGGCTTTTGTATCTGAAACCGGTGTCGATGCAGCTGCCACCACTGCCACCGCGACTGTAGCCGCTGCTTCAGCCTCTGCTTGGCTCTTGTTAAATCTGAACGATGACTTTTTGAGTAGTTGGTTGAGCATTTAGGATAATTGCATTACGAGCGAGGCTACTGATTGCGACACCAATAACAGCAGCAGCAGCAGCAGCAGCAACAACAGCAACAACAGCAAGCAGATACATTCACATTAGATACATAGTTACATAGATAAATACATACAAAATTTGTGATAGGGCACGCATTGCGCCAGCTCTCACAATTCATAGCTCTATCTGCACATCTATCCGAATTGACAGCCCTCCCGCTGGATACGCTCATTATAGTATCTATCCATCCATCTTTAGAATGTTTAGAGGCCAAACAGCGTTTTGGTCATTGATCGTATAGATAATGCTCATGAATTGCTCGCTGAATTAAAGCTAGAATATTGAAAGTGTTTGCATGTAATTATTGGTTTACTGGATAATACATATATAATGGAAATACAGCTAGAAAAGAAATTACTTCTATTTGCCTATGATTTGTTGGGAGTCTATGGAATAATGTACACATATTGAAATTTACTTTAAAAGTGGTAAATAAAAAAGATAAATTTACTAAAAGAGAAGGAACTAAAAATTAAAGGAACAAGTTTTAAAGATAAAAAATTAAAAGTAAAAAAAAAAATCGAATAAAATCACTTCATTATTAATATAATATAAGATTATAAATTCTAAATAATATAAAAAAATAATAAAATAAAATAAATGATCATATTAAAAATAAATTATATAGAAAAAATAAAATAAGAAAATAAAAGAATAATAAAAATAAAGAACTAAACGAAAAGGCGAAAAAATATTCAATAGTGCTAAAATAATTTTGTAATCCAAATTAAATTAAATAAAACAAAACATAAATAATAAATAAATATACAATTATAATTTAATAATAATATAATAATTTCGAGTAAAATATTAAGTAATGTAACCAAATTAAAAAATATATACAACAATTAAAAATGTAAAAAATATGAAATGAAATATATGAAATTGCAATTTTTATTTCTTATATATATTCAATTGTAAAAAAATGGAAAACTGAAATACATGCAGTTTTCCATTTTATTTATTCTAAAAGTGATTTAAAATTTACTTAAAGGCAAATCTGATTTACCAGACACATAGCCGTATTTGCCTATTAGCCATCAACTCAGTCTTGCCCCACACTCAAATGGCAGAAGTTCTACGATTCGAGTACACTTATTCCCACATTCGCATAATAACCCAGCTCCATTTGGGCGCTCTAGAGTTAATTTCGGTGCGTAGTCTAATATCGTAATATAATAATAGCTCAGCTCCTTTTCAGTCCGAGTTCCGCCCTTGAACTTGAAGTCTTTGATGCGAAGAAAAAGCAATCACAATTCCATTCTAATTGCCTAACGAAGCATTAATTATTGGTTCTTAATAAACAGAAAGAGAGAGAGAAAGAAAGAGAGAGATGGAGCTACGGACTTTGTCTGATGTTTGATTTTGTTGTTGTTGGCAGCGCTTGAGGCGCTAATCAAAATATTCAACTGCCAAAATATTTTACAAACTGTGTCACTGGCTCAATCAAATCATTTGCCCACTGGTCCATTAAATGACAAAATCCCAGCCAGATATTCAATTTGAATCGTGTGTGTGTGTGTGGGTGGGTGGGTGGTGAGGGGGTGTGGCCTCTAGGCGGGGTTGCCGTCTAAGCACGCCCAGCCTGGCCTGGCCATGCACAAAAGGCCAAAAATGTAATTAGGCCAGAGCTGAGTGAGTGTGCGAGCGGCTCTGTGTAGGTTGTGTGTGTATAGGTGTGTATGTGAATGTGTGTGTACCGTTATGCATTATGTAAAATTACATTTAGCCGAAAGAAAAAAAAAACAATTAAAAGGCAATTAAACGTGCTTTAAAGGCCAGCACGAGCGAGGCTCAGAGGCTAGAGCCAAGGGCTAGTCAGTTTTTTAGGGGTATGTGGCTAAGGGGGGGCTGGGATTTGTCGACGGTTTTGCTAACCGCAAAGTTCCGTAAACGCAAAACGAGCCAACGAACCGTTTTAATAAACTGTGGCAAATATTTCTTTTTTATTATTATTAAATGCCGCCTTTGTTGTCCCATTTGGCGCCTGCGGCCACAAACTAAATTTCTCTGTATTCCAAAAAGGATTCATGCTCCGAGAGGAATTTACATATGCGAAAGACTGAAATCCGATTTGTAATGGATGTCTAGTCAAAAGGTACGATAGAGCGAGGAGTATTCCAAAACTTTCTAGACAATTTGCTTAGCTTGAAAGAAAAGCAGAAGTTTTTCATATGATGAAAAATAGACGTTAAAATATAAAGATGGATAGATGAATTTGTAGACAACTTATATATCATATAATATTTAGAGACAGAGTAATAAATGTTCGTCTCTTTCGATAAAGCAATGAATTTTTTACTCATCTACAGATCTTTTAACTATTCTCAATATTAGAGAAGAGCTCTGCAGATACTGCAATCCATTGTGTGTTATATTTAAACTCTATTCAATTTTTTTTTTTTCTTTTAACTTCAGATATGCTTCGGATTGCCTATCTTAACACTATAAGAAGGATCATACATGCTACTCTTATAAATTCTTTGATTTTCTGATATCAATCTCTAAGCTATACTGCAGTATATGTAATACCGAGATATACATACTTCATACATTGTTATAGATATAAGATGATAAAGTGGATAGGAGATTGTAGTAGATAATTATATGTGCTTGTATAGTATCATCTATACAGTATATGAAGAGATTATATAGACGAACCCATCCATAATCTACTATCTATACATATATCTATCAAATTCTTTTAGTTTTTCATTGACTCAAACTATTCCTCAACCGATCTTCTAAGCATCTGCTAGGGCATTTAATATTCATCGCCTCGATTATAGCTGCTCTATCTGGTTCACATC